TTTTTAGATTCAGCTGTTTATTGATATGTATTTGTTGTCACTTTGTTGTTCATATTGTTTATTCTCAAAGGGAAGGGGGTGGGGGTGCAGGAAGAGATTAGACAAAGATCTTATATGCATGTATGCATTACCTGTGGACACAGACAATAGGGTGGCAAGAGCCTGGGGTGGGGTGGGAACCGGGTAGAGGGGAGCTATGGGGGGAAAAAAGAGGAACATCTGTAGTAATCTCAACAATAAAATTAATAAGTAAATAATAAATAAAATCACTAAAAAAAAGAAAAAAGAGGGACCACCGTGGGGGTCGGGGGGGCTGCATTAGGAGAGAGATCAGGCTCAACTCCAAATACAGCAAGGAGAAGTGGACATTTATGGCCAAGGTGGGGTTAGTGGATGGAAAATTACTGAGAAGAAACATCAAGCCTAGGAGGATTCATGGTAGCCCCACTAATAGGATTCTTGCTGAAGGCAGGCGGGGGTGAGAAGATATAGAGGGTGGGGGATAAGGAATTTGATCAGATGCCTGCATCCCCATGTTTATTGCAGCATTGTTTACAATAGCCAGGACATGCAAGCAGCCTAAGTGCTCATCACTGGTGAGTGGGTCAAGAAAATGTGGTGTATGTGGAATATTTCTCAGCCATTTAGGAGGAAGGAAAACCTGCCGTTTGTGACAACGTGGATGGACCTTGGGGGAGTTATGCTGAGTGAAATAAGTCAGACAGAAAAAGACACATACTGTATGATCTCACTTTTACGTGGAATCTAACAAACAAACAAACAAAGCCAAACTCACAGGAAAAGATCACATTTGTGGTTACCAGGGGCAGGGGGTAGAGGGTGGGAGAATTGGACGAAGGCAGGGGATAGAGGGTGGGAGAATTGGACGAAGGCAGGGGGTAGAGGGTGGGAGAATTGGACGAAGGCAGGGGATAGAGGGTGGGAGAATTGGACGAAGGCAGGGGGTAGAGGGTGGGAGAATTGGACGAAGGCAGGGGATAGAGGGTGGGAGCATTGGACGAAGGGGCAGGGTAGAGGGTGGGAGCATTGGACGAAGGCAGGGGATAGAGGGTGGGAGAATTGGACGAAGGCAGGGGGTAGAGGGTGGGAGCATTGGACGAAGGCAGGGGATAGAGGGTGGGAGAATTGGACGAAGGCAGGGGGTAGAGGGTGGGAGAATTGGACAAAGGTGATCAAAAGATACAAACTTGCAGTTACAAGTTAAACAGTACTAAGTATGTAATGTACAATGCGATGTCTATAGTTAACACTGCTGTAAGTTGTTAAGACAGTAAATCAATCCTAAGAGTTCTCATCACAGGGAAAAAACATTTTTTTCTTCTTTTAAATCTATATGAGATGAGGGATGCTAATCATCTCACAATATATGTAAGTCAAGCCATTGTGCTGTACACTTTCACTTTTACAGCGCTATATGCCACCTGTATCTCAATAAAACTGGAAAAGAGAGATACCAAGAAGGGGGACTTTTACTAAACTGACTCTGCCACTCTTGCTAAAACTGGACTAAGGCCAAGGACAAAGGCCAAGTTCGAGGTCCTGTTGAGAAGAAGCTCAGAGGAGTCAGAACGTCTTTGCTGCTCCATCACCTCCGAACCTCCGCCCTGTGGGAAGGGCACGGCTGTGGCTTGGGTCCTGGAGACCTACTCCAGCCTTTCCTGTGCATCCTTCCCTCTCAACCTGGCAGTCAGTCACAAAGCAAGTGATAATGATCACAGCATTAGGCTTGTTAATGCTGTAATTAACCAACAACACATGGTTAAGGTTAAGCAGTAGATGAGGAGATACCAGAGGCTTGAAATGCTGGGACAGATAGGTAGCAATGCCTGCTTTTACTGTCCAACCCCCTGCCTTCCTCTCAACATTAACCTTGGCTACCCCCTTCCTCCACCCGCTTCCCGAAGTATTCTTCAGTTTTGCTGAATTAGATATAGGTTTAGATACACCATGTTCTCTCAGCTCCAGGCTTTTGCACATGCTTCTCCCTGACATACCCTTCCCCTTTGCCCAGTTCAGGAGTCACCCCATGTGGTGTAAGGCCTGAAATGAAGGTCCAGTGTCATGTGTGCCTTGACATCTGGTAAAATCCAGAGGGCCCAGATGGCCTACCTGCAAGTCCCTCCCCCACCCTGCTTCCTCATATCAGGTCCCTCGGCCAAACGACCTTCTATGTGGCGGGGACCAGGCACAGTGCCTACCATCCCTGCGTAGTGGGCGTCAGGTCCCTGCCAGCCCTCGGAATTATTCAAACGGGCAATCACCTCCTGCCACAGGGACCAGAGGTCACCCCATCCTCTTGTTACTACACAGCCTGCCTCTCCCAGCCCCTCCTTGTCATTCCATTTCCAGGTGCAGCCCCACATGGCCCGCATGACGCAGTGCCCTCCTCCCGCAGCCTGGGAGTGCCTGTGGCTAAGAATCTGCCACCAGTCTCACCTGCCCAGCGTCCTCTGTAGTGTACTGTGTCGTCCCCATGACGCTAGGGGGGAATCCTTCCCTCACCCACAAGGTGAGAGGGAGTGATCGAAACACCTCACCTCCCTTGTCTGGCTTAGCTGCCACTTCCTCCATGTCCCCATACTCTGTCACCATCACCCATTGCATGGTTTGACCTCACTAAAATGTGAGCCACTTGCAGCAGACGTTGTGTCCTAGTCGTTGCTAGCACAGAACCTTCCGTGTGCTCCAAAAGATTTGTTGAATTAAAGTATGAATGAATGGTGTTATATTTCCGAATGTCTACACACCCACTAACCTCTTAGTTCCTAAAGCATTGACATTTTACTTGTGATGTTTTCTTAGATTTTTGGATGCATAGAGGGTACATTTTGCCTATTGTATATATGTTTAAATTTAGAGGAACATTTTTTGCTTTCACTATTATGTTGTTTTCCAGTTAGTTCATACTTGGCAGTTGGCTGAGGACAAGCTGGCAGGCTCTGCCTGGCCTGTTGTGTCTGTGTGTTATTCCATTAAATAGCTAATCCTGTTTACTGGCCATCCCTTCTCTCAGAATAGCCCTTCATTAGAACCCGTTTGTCCCTGGCCCCCAATGGATCCCAACTCTGGCCGGTAAGACACTAGGGCAGCGGTTCTCAGCCTGTGGGTCGCGACCCCTTTGGCCCTTTAGGAGTCGAACGACCCTTTCACAGTGGTTGCCTAAGACCATCGGATAACACATATATAATTACATATTGTTTTTGTGATTAATCACTATGCTTTAATTATGTTCAATTTGTAACAGTGAAAATACATCCTGCATATCAGATATTTACATTACGATTCATAACAGTAGCAAAATTACAGTTATGAAGTAGCAATGAAAATAATTTTATGGTTGGGGGTCACCACAACATGAGGAACTGTATTAAAGGGTCAGGGCATTAGGAAGGTTGAGAACCACTGGGCTAGGGCTTTGTGCAGCTCAGCCCAATCAAAACATGCTGCTAATTTTTGACCATTCATACCTTTTTTAAATAATGCGAGAACAGATTTAAATGGAGAGAAGTAGGAACGTTTGGTTTTTTTACTTTATTTGAGATCTTAGGACCAGAATATATTACAGGGGGTGGGGGGAGACAAGAAAGGAGAGAGGAATAGAGGGGGGAAGGAGGGAGAGGGAGGCGGGCGGGAAAGAGAGAAAGAAAGAAGGAAGGTAAAAAAAGAAAGGAGGGAGGAAGGGGAATATGGCCTCACCCTGTGCCTGGCTCTCAGTCCGACTCTAAAGGCTTGCACACCTCATGGTGATTTCTAAAGAACCATCTTGACAGCGGGGTCTGGAAAATTTCTTAGGGCATGCCCACTCCCCCATCTGCACAATTGAGAATTTGGTGGTAGTTATTAGTGAATCTATCCCTGTAGCAAACTGAAATGCCTCTTTTGTCCATTTTGGATTCATTCTGTAGTCCAGGCTATATTATTCCCCTCCCTTTCCTTCTGTCCACTTCAGCACTTAATTTCCTTCAATTATTAATAAACATATCCTTAATAATAATTTTCCGATATTTAAATTATACTTACATACTTTATATTGAAATTTTAAAGTAAGGAATTATATTGTATTTACAAGATAAGTATTAAAGACTAGAGGCCCGGTGCACGAAATTTGTACATGGGGGGTGTGTCCCTCAGCCCAGCCTGCACCCTCTCCAATCTGAGATCCCTCTCACAATCCGGGACTGCTGACTCCCAACTGCTCGTCTGTGTGCCTGCCTGATTACCCCTAACCACTCCCCTGCCAGCCTGGTTGCCTCTAACTGTCCTCACTTGCAGGCCTGGTCGCCCCCAACTTTCCTCCCCTGAAGGCCTGGTCCCCCCCAACTGCCCTCCCCTGCAGGCCTGGTCCCTCCCAATTGCCCGCCCCTGCAGGCCTGGGTCTCCCCCAGTTGTCCTCCCCTACAGGCCTGATTGCCCCCAATTGCCTTCCCTTGCAGGCCTGGGTCTCGTCTGTGTGCCTGCCTGATTACCCCTAACCACTCCCCTGCCAGCCTGGTTGCCTCTAACTGTCCTCACTTGCAGGCCTGGTCACCCCCAACTTTCCTCCCCTGAAGGCCTGGTCCCCCCCAACTGCCCTCCCCTGCAGGCCTGGGTCTCCCCCCCCCCAACTGACCTCCTCTGCAGGCCTGATCGCCCACAACTGCCCTCCCCTGCTGGCCATCTTGTGGTGGCCATCTTGTGTGTTGGAGTGATGGTCAATTTGCATATTACCTCTTTATTATATAGGATTGTCTTTGCAAAATCTGATTATGTTGAATTAATATAGAATTCTGCTACTTATAATGGAAAGGGGGGGTGAAGAGGGCACACATGTGAGAACACTTTGCAGATTGTAAATTATTTTACCAATCCTATATAATAAAATTCTAATATGCAAATCGACCAAATGGTGCAATGACTGGTCGCTATGAACTGACCACCAGGGGGCAGATGCTCAACGTAGGAGCAGCCCCCTGGTGGTCAGTGTGCTTCCACAGGGGGAGCACCACTCAGCCAGAAGCCGGGCTCATGGCTGGCGAGTGCAGTGGAGGTGGCGGGAACCTCCGCAGCAGCACTAAGGAGCAGCGAGCTGAGTGGTAGGGAGCAGCAAGCAGGTGGGTGGTAAGGAGTGAGGGGTCCCAGACTGTGAGAGGGCACAGGCTGGGCTGAGGGACCCCACCCCCCCACCCCCAGTGCACGAATTTTGTGCACCGGGCCTCTAGTATAACATAATATTGTTATTGTTACTTGTGTTAGGTGGCAAATGCATTTTGTCTCAGGGCTTCTCTTGCCTTCCACTAAGGCATTCTGAAGAATGCAGAGAGAATGGTAGCTATTCCTTTTATCTCATCCTAAAGGGTA